CGGACAGGGTCACCACCCGGTTTCAACACCCCAAACCGGGGCCGGTTTGGGGTGCTGAAACCCGGTGGTGCCCTCCCGAAACTCGCTGGTAGGTTTTATCCGGCCCCGGTTTGGAGTGCTGAAACCGGTCGGTGGCCTGAAGGGGCTCCCTAAACTCGCTGGTGCCCCGAATCTGAGGTTTTATCCCGCCCCGGTTTGGCGTGCTGAAACCGTGGCGCCTGAATGGGCTCCCTAAGCTCGCTGGTGCCCCGAACCTGAGGCTTTATCCGGCCCCGGTTTGGAGTGCTGAAACCGGGTGGTGGCCTGAAGGGGCTCCCTAAACTCGCTGGTGCCCCGAATCTTTTATCCCGCCCCTGTTTGGCGTGCTGAAACCGTGGCCTGAATGGGCTCCCTATAAGCTCGCTGGTGCCCCGAACCTGAGGCTTTATCCGGCCCTGGTTTGGAGTGCTGAAACCGGGTGGTGGCCTGAAGGGGCTCCCTAAACTCGCTGGTGCCCCGAATCTGAGGTTTTATCCCGTCCCGGTTTGGCGTGCTGAAACCGTGGCCTGAATGGGCTCCCTAAGCTCGCTGGTGCCCCGAACCTGAGGCTTTATCCGGCCCTGGTTTGGAGTGCTGAAACCGGGTGGTGGCCTGAAGGGGCTCCCTAAACTCGCTGGTGCCCCGAACCTGAGGCTTTATCCGGCCCTGGTTTGGAGTGCTGAAACCGGGTGGTGGCCTGAAGGGGCTCCCTAAACTCGCTGGTGCCCCGAATCTGAGGTTTTATCCCGCCCCGGTTTAGCGTGCTGAAACCGTGGCGCCTGAATGGGCTCCCTAAGCTCGCTGGTGCCCCGAACCTGAGGCTTTATCCGGCCCTGGTTTGGAGTGCTGAAACCGGGTGGTGGCCTGAAGGGGCTCCCTAAACTCGCTGGTGCCCCGAATCTGAGGTTTTATCCCGCCCCGGTTTGGCGTGCTGAAACCGTGGCGCCTGAATGGGCTCCCTAAGCTCGCCCGAACCTGAGGCTTTATCCGGGGCGGGATAAAACCTCAGGTTCGGGGAGCATCGAGTTTAGGGAGCCCCTTGAGCCACCCCGGTTTCAGCACCCAAACCGGGGCGGGATAAAACTTCAGGTTCGGGGCACCAGCGAGTTTAGGGAGCGGCCACCACCCGGTTTCAGCACGCCAAACCGGGGCGGCATAAAACCTCAGGTTCGGGGCACCATCGAGGTTAGGGAGCCATTCAGGCCACCACCCGGTTTCAGCACCCCGTTTCGGAGATCCGGGGATGAATCATGCGCAGCCTGCGACAGTCAGGAAGACAAGTATCCACTGCATTTTGTGCCGTTGTTGCATTCCTGCACGGAACATGTTGGGGGGACGTCCAGAAATGCGGATTGCTCTTTCGACCCCCCCCCCCCGGAGACATGGGGGATCATCAAGCCTTCTGCGAGGCGCAAGTTGCAGATCTTGCAGGGGCCTCAAGGATGGAAGGATCCAGAGTTTAGGGTTTTGGTATCGGTGCCTGTACTGAAAATAGAGGTAGTGGCGGTAGTGGAATAAAACAGCCGCCCCGATCTGACCCGTGCCAGCCGGACACTCAAACGCCCGACCCTACTCTGGACCCTGATCCCTTCAGCCAAGCCCGACCCCTCGCGTCTCCTCGCGTTTGCTGCCCCTCTCTTCTCATCTATTCTTTCAGATCTGGCTCGCCACGATGGAAGCTGGCCAAGTCAGACAGTATTTCTGAGGCATCGCAGATGCGATCAGTTCAATCTGCGCATTCCCGCCATGAGCATGAGGTGTTAGTCTGTACGGTCTTGGTTTTTGTCTGGACTTAGCCGACTGAAGCATGAATGCTGCCATGTTTCTTTTCAATGGCCAAGTCCTAAGCTATGCCTCAGCCGACCTCTGCAACAGGCGGCACGCGCTCTTGCAAACAACAAGTTGCTCGAGGCGCACCAGCCGATAGCACATGGCCCAAACGCATCAGCATCCACCCAAGCAGAGCTTTCTACCTCCATGTCAGGCCTTGCTTGCAGCGCAAGCGGGATGGCGGCAGGCGGGATGCCCGTGAAAATGGATAGTCAGTTGTGGTGCCCCCCCTCATGTACCTACCTTTTTCCTGCCTTCCTGCCTTCACCAAGTTGGCCAAGGGGGGCCGATGGCACCAGGATGTAAGACGAAAGGATTTACGTGAGTTGCACTCCGAACTCCGAACTGCCCATTGTGCTCTCGAGCAGTACGACTTACCATACACGGAGCCCAAAACACTGGAAAAACCAACAGCATGACACACACGGAGCCCATCACCAATAAGAGCCATACAAACCATGATTTTCAACTAGCGGGGGAAGAGTGACACCATCCAGAAGGGACAGTTTGAAAATCATGGTGTATATGGTTGTTATTGGTGTTTCAATGTTTTTCGATTTCTAAATCGCGAAACATTGGAAAGAATGTTGGTCGTTCCAATGATGCCTGCTTCTGATTCAGCGGAAACATTGGAGCCCAAAACATTGGAAACACCAATGCAAACGACACAGACGGAGCCCAAAGCACTGGACAAACCAAAGCGCAATGGCGCACATGGAGCTGAAAATCTGACAACAATTAAAAGGCATACAAATAATGGATTTAAAACTAGATGAAGCGTGACACCATCCAGACGGGATAGTTTGAATATCATTGTTGTAGGGTTTTGCTTTTGTTGGTCTGTCCAACGTTTTCAATGGAAACATTGAAAAATCAATAAAGATTGCACACACGGAGCCCGAAACACTGCAATCACCAATAAATGGCACATACGGAGTTCAAAACATTGGAAACCCCAGCACAACACTGACTTGCCGTCGGCTTGCGTTTGAGCGGAGATAACTGGGCATATCAACAGCAGCCACAAACATAGCACACAACATACACGAAAGCCTACCTACTACCGCAACGGAAAGGGGAAGCCTACAAAGTGGTTTGCGCAACCCTGAAGCAATCTTTCCATATGGTATAGCTAGTACGGAGTTCTTTGCTGTATCAGTATGCTGTTATTGCACAAATGCGTTAGGGCGCAAGTCAAAAGCTGTGATGCACAGTCAGTCAATACTTCAGCATACATAGCAGATGTTCAGCTGTGTTGAAGCAACACAGATATGAAAGGTGGGGGGAAGCGCATTTTTACAGTATGTTTCTTTAAGCAGAGATCGGGCGGCTTGTCGGCTGGTGCGAATCGTTTGTTCGGGGTTTGGGGCTGCAGAGGTCAACTTACATCGTTTCAGGGTGTCTGGAGGATACAGAAATTCGTGCAGATGCGACTGTTCCGGTTTACCGACTGTTTCTGATCAGCTGCCAAGCTGGGGTGTTCCCTGTGCAGCGAGCAGCTAATTCGGAGCTAAAGCGTGCAGGTTTGTGAACAATGCATTTATCGCAAAATGTCTCGGTGCAGTGTGATGTCTGCCTTGTGCTAACACGTGTCGGCCTGGAAAGCTGCCACACAGGAGCAAGCCACCAATGCAAGGCTGAGGTGCGGCCTCCTAGGTTTTCCATCTTGATGGTTCCGGTTCGGGGTTTGTTTTTGGCGCAATGTGCCCTGAAGTCCCACACACTAGGAGCCCCCACGTCATTGGGGGATTCCGCCCAGAACGTTTCAGCGGCTTAAGGCTTTGGCTGTCGGGTGGAAGTGGCCCTAGGACCGTACTGATACCGGCGCAGATCTTCTCCATTGTTTTTTGCCCGGCTTCTCTTCTTGCAGGATGAGACAGACCCACAGGAGCACCACAGCGATCGTTGTTCCGGCCAGCTTGGTGCGCAAGACACGTTGTCATTGTCCACACAGGCTGGAAAATCAGCAGCTGCGTGAACTTCTTGAAGCTTTGCCAGTGTCTCAGCCAAAGATGAGAGTGGCCTCGCCTTTTTGACGCTGTGAGCTGTAGGAGTGGTTTCCCATTCATGTTCTGATGGTATCAATAGTTAAAGTTACAAGACGACTGTCAGAATTAGGCCATTTGCAAAAAAGGATTTGCACTTCCTCAAGCAGCATCTTCAGCTCCTCAGATTCGGAATGCGCTTCGGACTGCGTATGACAGTGCGAGGTCAAAGTTCTGCCGTTTGCAGTCATATATGTCTACAAATAATCGCAGGGCTAGTCGGATCGCAGGCCAGACCACCGCAATTCTCAAGACTCCAACAACCTGCCTTCATACAAAGAAACCCCCAAGTCCCAAAGCCCCGTGAAACTCCAAGAGCGCGGCGGAATAACTGCCCGCAGAAAAACCCTCGATGCACAGAGGAGCAGCCGGACTGGAGAAGGCAATGCACAAGGCAGCGAGGCAGGCAGAGTGGGATTATCTGGGTGCTTCGGGCAAGGTTCGGCGTCAGAATGCCTTAGACCTAAAACCAGACGCAAAGCCCTGAACCCTAAACCTAAATCCGCAAATCGCATGGCCCACTACCAAGCGCATTGAGATCGCCTTCCATACATCACATGCTGCAGGCCCAATTTCTCAATGAAAACGAAGCACGACAACCCTGGACTGTCGGGTTTGTACTTCAGGCTTTGATATGCCTGCACAGTGTAAAGCATGATATTGCATATGTCGGTGCTTGATAACACGGTTTCATGGGATGCTGTAGTCCACCCCGCGGAGGTGAACGAGCCTTCTTGCATGATTTTCCTTGCAGTCAAGTGAACAAATCCCTGCGTCCGGGTGTATGCTGGAATTGGAATGGTTTGTTTCGGTCCCCTTTACCCGCTAGCCACAACACCTGAACCTCCGAACTTACATACCCAAAACGAAGCATGAGTCCTCAACATACTGAATCCAAAACCTTCAGTCCACGACCCTTAAACCCTGCCCTCCAAAACATCAAATCCCATCCTCAACCTCGGACCCACAAATCCTAAGGACTTAAATCCTGCGCTGCAAAACTTAAATCCTAAACCCGAAGCGAGGCCCTAAACATCCTCAGCCCTGAATCCTAAAGCCTGCCGGTAGCGACCAAACCCTATGCATCTGCAGCCGCAGGTATCGACAATGCAGAGCAATGCCCCCGCAGGCATGTGTGAATTGTCCTTGTCTTGGGGAGTGGGTGTGACTGTCTGGCTGAGATGCTGGATTTCCAAAGGCGGCTTCAGGTGAGGAGGTGCCAAAGACGGGGACGCCCGAGCCCTCTCCATTCTGCTGTCAAACCATGCAGATGTGCAAGACGTCGCCGGAGCAAGATTGTGATCAGACATGTTGCAATCGAAGTTCGTTGGCAAGAGCTTTCGAGCAAACTGCATGTCCTTGTACCTTCAGCATCACCCGCTCCATTGCAGAACCATAGTGTACTTGTCCTTGCCTCTTTGGCTCTGCGCACTCCATTGCAGAGCCACGTATGGGCACCACACGCTCCGTTGCAGAACCACCGATTGCGGAGACATCTGGGTGCCGCTGTACTTTCCATGCCAGATCAGAGCCATCCCCCCCCCCGTGTGTCCTTGCACCTTTCAGCGCATTGCTCTGCATTCTGCATGTCCGTCTTGAAGAGCTGAGAGCTATCCTGGCTATCTTGTTTTGCATGTCCTTTGACCTCCAGCACCACGCACTCCATGTGCAGAGCTTTCCTCCGCTTGTCCTTGCGCTTTTTGTGCTCCATCAATCGCGTCGCAGAGAGCCATCCTCTGCGTCTGCGGTTTTTTTTGCGCCGCGTGCTCGTTGCAGGGCTCCTGGTACCTTTGAGTGCAGCGTGCTCTATTGCCGAGCCATGCTCTGCGCGTCCTTGTTTTTGGCATCATGAAGTTTCATGTGAGATGCAGACATGTGGTGTGACCCCTTGCTGCCGTTCCTAAGCAGTTCACACGCAGACAAACGCACGCGCAAACGCAGACATGCAGACACACACACACACACACACAAATGACGACGGCGGCAGCGTTTGTTTGCGGCACTCCTATGACGGCTCAGCCACTGCTGCGACGACGGTCCGCTGTGAAGTGGGCAAGCAGATCGGAATCGGAATGTGGGCACTGAATGCGTCCGCAACAAGAGGCCAGGCCAGGAGTCGAAAGCGCCAGAATGTGGGCGCGTCCGGTCCTGGTATCTCAAGCAGCCGTACCTGCCGAAGATTTGTTCGGTTTCAAGTTTTCAGAGCCTTGACTCTAGAGTCATTGGAGTCATGGGACAAGGTTTTTCGGAAGCTTCTCTTTGGTCTGTGCCTGTGGCCTCGCCACAGGCGACACGCAGATGAGCTTCGGTCCAAGTGGAGGCCCGACACCGCCGACGCCTGGAGGCACTCTCGGGCTGAGAGGCGGCTGAAAGGTGCAAGCAAAATCCTATAGTTGGGGTGCAAGGTTCCATGAGCTTCGCTCCAAACGGTGGAGCGCCTGGTCTTGGCGGTGGTGGCCAGACCCTGAGAATGGCAGGTTCCTTGCGGTTTTGAGCAAGGAGCTCCTTCCGCAGCATTGTGCCATTGTGCAGCCGTTTCCAGTGTATCCGGAGGTGTTCGCATGAGCTTCAGTCCGAACGGCCCTTCCAGCCGGCTCAGCCCAGGGTAGCTAGAGACACAAGGCTATACCAGATTTGCATCGGCTCGGCTGATGATCGTGGCTCTTCGTTCTGCAAAGGTGTGTGTGGGCCAGGTATGCTGCAGATTCCATGTTGTACAAGCAGCTAGCATGGGAGACAAGCACGCAAGCCCGGCTGCCGCTGCTCGTGTTGCAACCAAGGTGCGCCACCGTCTGTGACCTCGAGCAGTGCAGGCCTGATGCAATGCGGTGGCGTTTGGGTGTTGAATCATGTTGAATCTAGTCCCGGCAGGGTCACCTGTGCTCCGAGGCGTGAAGATGAGCGTCAGCCCTGATAAACCTGGACCGGGTCGCGGTCTCACTCTGTGAACGCTGGCTCGTTGCAGAAAATCCTCGTTTGCACGAATGGTGCAGGTGTGCGGACCAGCTTCGGCCCTGACGGATCCGCGGGAGGCCATCCCGGTCTTGGCAATTGCAGGCAGCTGGATGCAGGCGGCGCGACAGAATTCGTTCAACCAGGCTGTTTACAGATTCTCTCTTCAAACCAGAGGAAACCGAGATTCTAGACTCAGTCCGCGACGTTCGCAGCCACCTATGTGCTGCGAATCAGAACTTTTGTTTATCCAGGGGATGTGCTTCCACGGCAGAAACAGCCACGGAGTGCAGGTCGCTTTAGGAGCTCTAGGAAGAGGCAAAGAAGCCTTCCAGATCGTGTCTTTGCCCGGCTTAAGATCGGCGTCCCGTGTTAAACCGCCTGGTAGCTACGGGGGTCGAGACCCGTACATACCCTCACCACCGCCGGCGCAGGTGCCAAGATGAGCTTTAGTCCTGATGGGCCTGGAACTGCTCCTGGCCGTGGGCTTGTGTTGCTGAAGCTATGGGCTGATGCGCACGTTCGCGACATGACATACAATGACAGAGCCAATCGCTAGCGTCCGCCCAAGGCGCCAAAATGAGCTTCAGCCCTGATGGTCCGGCTGCGGGCCCGTGGCTGAGATTCGCCGGCGATTGCAGGCCCTGCAACAAAGCAGCTGTCCACTTTTGCAGGCGGCCCATCTGCTCCCTCCGGCGGAGCAGGCTCACCCCTTTTAGGATTTGTCCTCTTGCCATCGCAATGGCTTGAAACATCTTTTAACATCTTGCATATCTTGCATGGCCGTAAGCCGCAGGCGGGACAGGTCCCTTGCCACAGGCATCATGTATGAAAGGGCGGTTGGCTGTAGTCTCTGACGAAGTAGATTTCATTGCGTAGAGTTGAGAGAGCACAGGAAACTCCTTGATCGGTTTGGGTCTTGAATACCGAACTCCGTTGCGCGTGGCTCGGGTTGTCTTCGATACGTACATGTCGTTGGTTGGCATTCGGGCTCATGGTTCTATGGGTTGTTTGGAGACAGCAGGCCCTTCCAGCACGCCAGAGGACGCACAGGCGGGAGAAGTGATCAAGGGAGGATCGTAGGATTCGGATTCCATCATAAGGATTCAGGCCTAAGATTTTGAATGAGGCAACAGGGGTTTCTTGGGATGTCTCCGGCACACCCGCAAAACGATCCCCAAGACCTCAAAGCCCAAGGCTGCTTCACCTCTCCTCGTGTGCTTTGTACATTGGGTGGAGTACTCAAGGCAGTGCTTTTCGGGGCGGGCGTGGAAAGTACGTTTGGAGCATGTATGTTGAGGTTGCATTTCTCTCCTAGAGGCTTGGGATTGGATCCCTCAAAGGCCGCAAGAAGCAACAAAGGACAGCTTGCTTGCCGTGCTAGGTTTACTGCGAGCGCATCAGGGGTTTGTAACTCAGCTGGCTTCTTGCCTCACTGGGCCGCGATTTCAGGAACTTTGGCAGGACCAGGTCGATCGATCCATCCGAGTCCCCAAGCCAAAATCCTGCTGGGAATGCGGGGATGACAGTTCTCAGATTTGCAATCCCGGCCCTTGGACACTACAGGCGGAAAGGCAGCATGCCCCGGAAGAAACTACAGATTCGAACGGGTCTGGGTTTGGGATTTCGTGGAACTATATATCATTTGTTTCTGCGCGACTGCAGCCGGTTGAGGAGAGTTGCGTCTGGCATTGGCTACGCAAGGAGGTTGATGCGTTCGTGACTCGTGGTGGCAAAGAGATGGATCGAAAGGATGCTGAAATCGTGAGAAGACAGCCATGACAGTCATGCTGGAGCTCCTGACTCTGGAACAAAACAGCATCAGGTCACTGCAGAGCTCCGGGATGACGGAGAGCTCTGGAGAAGAAAAGGGGTTCGTCGCCATCAGACCTTCAGAAAACTGTGTTTAGGCTTCATGACGCACATCGCTGAACTTACTGGTACGAATGGTTTTTTTCTGTCGGCTCCGGGTTCCAAATCGCAAGCCCAAAGCCAAAGTGACACGAAGTTAAGCTCCGCACGTGCTGGATCATCTGGTGGGTCCAGCAGTTTTTGCCGGCATTTATAATCCTTTGCTTTTGCATCGCACGCAGCAGTGCTTCGGACCGCGGATCGAGGGCTCATGAGGTTTAACTCTGGGGTGGTTCGTTGAGGATCTCTTTGGGCTTCGACATTCGCTGACAGGTGTCAGCAGGGCTCAGATGCCGGGGTACGAGAGATTGGGGGTGGAGTGGTCACATACATAACCTGCAAGCTAACATCCTTCATTTCTGAGAGCATAAAGCCCGAGAGCTCCTTTCAATAGGGACTCAAAGGTTTGAGGGCTTAGAAAGAGGGGGAGGTGGAGGAGTTGAACGCTTTAGGCAGACAAAAATCTGGCCTGGAAAACTTGAGAGGGTTCGCCAAACATCGTTTATTCGCGGCCAACAGGGTGCACAATTACCGAAGAGCTACAGAAAAATCGGAGGAGCAACCAGAAAGAAGAGAAACGAGGAAACACGGACACAACTAGACTTGTTTTCCTGTTGAATCTCTCGGCCTTACTCTTCTCTCCTCCTCCGGCTTCCCTCCTCGTTTAGTAGTCTTTCCAGAAAAGTTCCTCATCTTAGCCCCAAGCCGCAAACCCCTAAACGAGTGCAGGAGAACAGCGCCCTGTTCCTGGACTAGCCCATGCACGGTGTAGGATGCCCGGGCTGCACCGGAGTCGATCGGACCAGCGGTTGTCGTGAGTTGAACGGAATATTCTGGATTCAGAGTGGATTGAAGTTCGTCAGTCAGTCCAGCTGGCAACTGCAGGTCTTTTGACACAGGCAGCCCGAGTTTTATACCTGGCAGCGGAAGGTCTTGAATTGGTGCCAAGTCTTGGAGCACCGACTAGTTGGGCAAGGACTGTTGTAGAGAAAGGTATGAGGGCAGCCAAAGCTATGCATCTATAGTTTCCCATACCGTGGCTTGCATGAGAAACAGTCTTCAAGCCCGGCACCTGGGTCGAGAGCTCCCACTTGCACCGATGAGCACGCTTTTGTGTGTGCGTTCTTCAAGAATCCTGGGCTGGTGCTTCCCAAGCTGCCGGCCCGGCCCTTCGCATCCTACCGTGTAGGATGTCCGGGCTGCACCGGAATCGATCGGACCAGCGGTTGTCGTGAGTTGAACGGAATACTTGCAGGATTCACAGTGGGAGGCATTCAGTCCAGCTGGCAACTGCAGGTGTTTTGACCCGGGCAGCTCGAATTTTATGTCTAGCAGCCGGTCGCCAAGACTTAGCCCGCGACTTCGATAAGGAGTAAGTGGGGGACCGGGAGATAAAGGCAGTGAGGAGGAGGCGTGTGGCTCGCATGCAGTGGCCACGAGAAGTCCTGAACGAGTTTGTTTTGCACACCCTCAAAACTCTTCCGAACATTCGGCCGATCTTAACAACAGCCGAAAGAACTACGGTGGTTGCAAACCGATGAGACTTATGTCGGTTCATCGGTGTTTGCAGATATATCTTCAGATATATCTTGAGCATTTGGGCACGCCTTGCCGATAGGACCTCAGTGATACAACACCTCGCGCAGTCGCCTCACTGTCGTATCTTCTTCCTATTGAAGAGGCTGCTGCTCCGAGAGCAGCTGTTGCATTCCTCTCATGCGTCGTATCAGCAAGGATGTCGGAATTCGCCATCTCGTTAGCTTTGCACCACCGCAAATCAAACCACGGTCCAGGTACGCGCGTCTGTGTAGGTGCAGTGCGACATGCGTTCCTGCATCTCCTTAGGATAGCAGGTACAAATCCCGATGAGCCTTCTTGCTGCATGCTGCATCTCCTGCTTGGTGCACATAGAACTCAAGATAAAGGGACCCATACCGAAGCTTCTTTGCGTTAGTTACGGAGAAGGCCTGTGGTTCGAAGTCTTCGTAGGCCGAGGCCAAAGTTCGAGACTCCCAGGAACCGAGAGCGGTGAAGACGAGGAAAAGCAGGCCAGGGTTTCGGCGGGCGAGACATCTTCCGGAGACTTGAAAAACCGGGGCTGCGCCATGGCGCGGATGTCGGGAGCAGCTCAAAAGCAGAGCTAGCTAAAGGCTCCCACAATGCGACACGTAGTCTGAGTTTGCAGCGTCTACTCAAAATCCGGCGCCCGTCGTTCTGCCCCGACGCATAGGCAAAGTTGGGGACGGTGAAGCCTTTGCCGGTATTGATCGGAATTGGACTGGATACTTTCATCCGTGCAAACGCCTGAGCTTAGAGTTCTGGATTTTTACAAGTACAAAAAACGAATAGTAATAGTTCAACACAGCTCATTCATGTAGCCATCCTGGGAATTTCATTACAGCTGTAAACATCCAAATTGCCGTGCGATTATAAGCTGTGTGGCACTACCCCAGCCGGTCCGATGCCCAGGCTTCTCATGTTGGCTCAAGGTTGGCTGAACCGGAAGACCCAACCTAGAGTATGGTTTGGTTTCGTCATTTGTGCCCAATCGCCGGGGTAGTTCTGAAGGCTTATTCAGGCGATGCACACTTGCATCCTGTAGATATAGACGCATAGCTCCGACAGAACACTCACCTCCAAGTCCAAGATGCGCGCATGGGGCCGTCCGAGAGCTCTCGCTTGCGACTTGACTTGATACCACTGGTCAATCTTGGGGACTTGTTCATGCTATTTTGCGGGTATGGGCAAAACAGTGTCGGTCTGCATTAGGCAATATTTGTTTGTCAAAGTCGAGCTAGTCTGACAGAGGTCGAAAGTGGCGTCCAACACGAAGAAGTAGCTGTGGAGCGTCATACGCTGCAAAAATAATTTTGTATTTCTTTGCCCCTTGCTGTTTTCTATGAGTGGCGCTCAGATAGGGAATACTAATAACTCATGGGTTTGCTACACGACCGTTGCTAAAAATAGCGAGCCTCCCCCTAATTTTGAATAGAAATGATTTCGAGTTTTGATTGATAGATAATTACATAAGTGGCAATTAGATATGGAGGTATGCTTTGTAAGGGCGGAAATAAGAACGATCTTGAGGCGGTGCGGGGGGTGGTAGTTCATGAGGCACGAATAAACATTTTTTAGGATTCTTGATCTCATATTTTTGGGAATGATTCCGGAAAGCCGTTGTTCGTGGTCGGAAATCCCGGGCTTCGAATAAGAGATTATTGGAAAGATTCCGAAACATTTTTATTTGTGGTCGGAAATCTCGGGCTACGAACAAGGGTTTTTTCTAGGGTTCTCGGCCACGAATAAGAGATTTTTGGAATCGTTCCGAGAAAGTCTTTTTCGTGGTCGGAAATCTCGGACGATTTCTGGCCATGAAAAAGTCACGAATAATGTTTTTTCGGGATTTCCGGTCATATTCAAGATTTGCTACTGAAAAATTTTAGGACCATGAATCTATTTAGATTTAAAAATATATAATAAAGATATTTAGGGTTCAGTAGTTCCGGATCGGTCAATTTTTTTCAAAAATTGCGCTTATGATTTAAGAATAATACCCACTCCCTCTTAGAATCCCACGATATCATAGAAATATAAAGTTTCTTTTCGTTATTTAGTTTACTAGAAGATAATTGGCCTGAAATTATTATTAGTGAAGAATTGAGCGCTATGTCATAGAATTTAGTGCATAGAATGATAGAGTCATAGCGCGAAATATATTTAATTATAAAATATTTGGCAATGCCGAGATCGATACTTTTGAATTTATGAATTTGATATGTTATTGAGGCTGTCGAAGCAATATTATATATCCAAATATGTGAGGTCAGTTGCATACGGCCAGAGTCAAGTGCATAAGTTAGGAGATCAAGCATCTAGAGTCTAGAGTCATGATATCAAGTTGTTTCAGTGCAGCCAGGTCCGGTGGTCGGTGATCGTATTATAGTATTGCGGTATCTTTGGTTGGAGCTGATCCAGCAGGGAAGATGGTAGAGATTCGATCGAGGTAGATAAAGAATAGTCCTCAGCATGGTAAGATGCTGCAATATCATCATCCCTTCGAGCAAGCATGCGGGTCGCATTTTGCGCAATGAGAAAGCCTCTACAATCGACGTAGAGCTTCCGAGCCTGCATAAGTCATCGAGCAGGCACCGGCGACGCCTCGTTGCAATATAAATTGACTCACGTAGGCAGTGACCAACGGCGGCGATTCCCTATGAAGCGTCCTGTTCGGCAATATGCCGCGACAGAGCTTCTAACAACTCCGCTTTGGAAAATTTGCGTCCGGCTGACTTCTGCTGCGCATCCGCCAGCGACTGCGAGCCCACAGAACTGATCGCGAGTCCGCTTCCCGAGCTCGTCGCGGAGCCAGGCTTCGCCGTGCTCGGCACAGCCCTCTCGCAGCTCCTGCAGCTTTTGCTCAGACGCGGCAACAACATCGACCTGACAGCAAAACCTTCACGTGAAAGCACGAAACATCTAACCTGGCCACGACACTGACGCCTCACTGCAAGACAAATTGACACAGACAATGATCAACGACATCGATTCCCCATGAAGCCTCTTCCTCGACAATGCACTGTGATAGAGCTTATACCAATTCCAGCTTGGATAGAGTGCGCCAGGACGAGCACTGCGGCACACCCGCAGCGGCAGCAAGCCCACACAACTGCCTGGCAGTGCTCGGAGCCAGGTTTCACCGTGCTCGCCAAAGCCCTCTCGCAGGCCATGCAGCTGCTATGGCAGCAACAGCATGTATCCACCCCGGCCCTTTCGCAAGACAGCGTCTAGTCAGGCAAATACCCGTCCTAAGTATGGTGAGATGCTACAACGTATCTTCCCTTTGGAGCAGAGTGAGGCAGGTAAAGAACAGTCCTCAGTATGGTAAGATGCTGCAAGATATTTCTCCTTTCGAGCAAAGCATGCGGGTCATACATGTGCAATGAGAAAGCCTCTATAATCGACGTAGAGATTCCGAGCCTGAATAAATCATCGAGCAGGCGCCGGCGACGTCTCATTGCAATGCAAACTGACTCGCGCAGGCAGTGATCAACGACAGCGATTCCCCTTGAAGCGTCCTGATCGGCAATGCGCCGCGATAGTCTGCTGCACATCCGCAGCGACAGCGCCCACACAACTGATCGCGAGTCTGCTTCCCGAGCTCGTCGCGGAGCCAGGCTTCGCCGTGCTCGGCACAGCCCTCTCGCAGCTCCTGCAGCTTTTGCTCCGACGCGGCAACAACATCGACCTGACAGCAAAACCTTCACGTGAAAGCACGAAACATCTAACCTGGCCACGACACTGACGCCTCACTGCAAGACAAATTGACACAGACAATGGTCAACGACATCGATTCCCCATGAAGCCTCCTCCTCGACAATGCACTATGATAGAGCTTATACCAATTCCAGCTTGGACAGAATGCGCCAGGACGAGCGCTGCGGCACGACCACACAACTATAATCGCGAATCCGCTTCCCGAGCTCGTCGCGGAGCCAGGCTTCGCCGTGCTCGGCACAGCCCTTTTGCAGCTCCTGCTGCTTTTGCTCCGACGCAGCAACAACATCGACCTGACAGCAAAACCATCACGTGAAAGCACGAAACATCTAACCTGGCCACGACACTGACGCCTCACTGCAAGACAAATTGACACAGACAATGATCAACGACATCGATTCCCCATGAAGCCTCTTCCTCGACAATGCAGTGTGATAGAGCTTATACCAATTCCAGCTTGGATAGAGTGCGCCAGGACGAGC